GTGTACATATACATATATACAACGTCCCCGGCTGATGCAGTTATGTCGTCTTTCTCGTTGCGCAATCGAGGAAACGACCGGCTGTGCCTATCGTCGATTTTTCTCCCCGAGTGCAACGCACACCCGAGATCGTAATACATATAGCGCGGGCGCTAAAAACGAAAGCTTCGCAGTGACTATATATATATATATATATATATGGATGTGTGTGTGTGTGTGTGTGTGTGTGTGTGTGTGTGTGTGTGTAAGTGGGCAGATATTTGGTTCTCAAAAATTTTATGAAATTCATTTTTTCAATATTTTTCAATCTGGTTAACCTAAATAAATATATAAAAAATAAAATTTTTAAATTTCAAACATTTACCGGCCGCGTTGTTGTGGACTTCGATTATCGAATGAATACACCATAACTATTTTACGCCTTACGCCGGGTCTCTACAAATCAATTTTAAAATTGTTTCATCCATTTCAATCAGTAGAGGTTATTGCATAGGTGTAGTAGATTATTTATTATTATTATTAATATCGTACGCGAATCAATCATGAATCAACATACCTAATGAGCGACAGATTGCAAGTATATAATTATATTACACTGACACTTATTGCACGTATTATTATTATTATTATTATTATTATTATTATTATTACGTGCTGTTCTGTGTAAGGTATCTACTACAACAAAATTGCATGTGCATGTAATGAAAATAAAGCATCGCAATGTACACTTACTACGTTTGTTACGTCAAAACGCGCAGCTGCCTCAACTCCATAAACATCTTGCGACGGCAAGAGAAGGCCGCGAAGCTCAATACGTGTTTCTGCGATGGCGCGGAGGACTACGATTGTACGGCCATCCATCGCAACATGGACGAGTTGTGCTTCCATAGGCCACCCCAGCATCACAAGTACCGGGAACACGAGCACCAAAAGTCCTCGATCCTGAGGCCAGGCGACGCAGCAACAGTGTCATCGGCGTCGAAGGCATCCGGTAGCAGCGACGTCAACGGTGATGTCAACTTTGGCTCCGGAAACGCAGCGCAGACGAATAAAACGCCCGAAAGCGGAGCTGCCCGAGCCACATCTTGGCAATTACTACTCGTCGGCCTTGTGCTGCTCCTCCAAACGCCTCTTCTGTGCCAGTCGACCCGAGGTAATCAATCCTTTCATTGATTCTTCTCCACCTGTTTGTTGAATCATACCTGCCTGCTCCTCCTCTTTACTTACCTTGTCGGTAACTTTTCCTCCATTCAGAGACTGTACAAAAAACTTTGCCCGCACACCAATCGTGACTCTTTTCTTTTTCTTCCTAACAACTGTACTTGCACCTTTTTTTTTTTTTTTTTTTTTAATTTTTTTTTTTTTTGTGCGCGGTTATACTTTTTTCTTCCCCTTCGCGACTATTGGTCAATTAAAAGCTGGTCGCATCAGGCGAGGGCAAACGCAAGTAATTTCACTGAAAATAATGCACTTGCAATTCAAATAAGCAAAGAGNGATGATGATGATGATGATGATGATGATGATGATGATGATGATGATGATGATGATGATGATGATGATGATGATGATGATGATGATGATGATGATGATGATGATGATGATGATGATGATGATGATGATGATGATGATGATGATGATGATGATGATGATGATGATGATGATGATGATGATGATGATGATGATGATGATGATGATGATGATGATGATGATGATGATGATGATGATGATGATGATGATGATGATGATGATGATGATGATGATGATGATGATGATGATGATGATGATGATGATGATGATGATGATGATGATGATGATGATGATGATGATGATGATGATGATGATGATGATGATGATGATGATGATGATGATGATGATGATGATGATGATGATGATGATGATGATGATGATGATGATGATGATGATGATGATGATGATGATGATGATGATGATGATGATGATGATGATGATGATGATGATGATGATGATGATGATGATGATGATGATGATGATGATGATGATGATGATGATGATGATGATGATGATGATGATGATGATGATGATGATGATGATGATGATGATGATGATGATGATGATGATGATGATGATGATGATGATGATGATGATGATGATGATGATGATGATGATGATGATGATGATGATGATGATGATGATGATGATGATGATGATGATGATGATGATGATGATGATGATGATGATGATGATGATGATGATGATGATGATGATGATGATGATGATGATGATGATGATGATGATGATGATGATGATGATGATGATGATGATGATGATGATGATGATGATGATGATGATGATGATGATGATGATGATGATGATGATGATGATGATGATGATGATGATGATGATGATGATGATGATGATGATGATGATGATGATGATGATGATGATGATGATGATGATGATGATGATGATGATGATGATGATGATGATGATGATGATGATGATGATGATGATGATGATGATGATGATGATGATGATGATGATGATGATGATGATGATGATGATGATGATGATGATGATGATGATGATGATGATGATGATGATGATGATGATGATGATGATGATGATGATGATGATGATGATGATGATGATGATGATGATGATGATGATGATGATGATGATGATGATGATGATGATGATGATGATGATGATGATGATGATGATGATGATGATGATGATGATGATGATGATGATGATGATGATGATGATGATGATGATGATGATGATGATGATGATGATGATGATGATGATGATGATGATGATGATGATGATGATGATGATGATGATGATGATGATGATGATGATGATGATGATGATGATGATGATGATGATGATGATGATGATGATGATGATGATGATGATGATGATGATGATGATGATGATGATGATGATGATGATGATGATGATGATGATGATGATGATGATGATGATGATGATGATGATGATGATGATGATGATGATGATGATGATGATGATGATGATGATGATGATGATGATGATGATGATGATGATGATGATGATGATGATGATGATGATGATGATGATGATGATGATGATGATGATGATGATGATGATGATGATGATGATGATGATGATGATGATGATGATGATGATGATGATGATGATGATGATGATGATGATGATGATGATGATGATGATGATGATGATGATGATGATGATGATGATGATGATGATGATGATGATGATGATGATGATGATGATGATGATGATGATGATGATGATGATGATGATGATGATGATGATGATGATGATGATGATGATGATGATGATGATGATGATGATGATGATGATGATGATGATGATGATGATGATGATGATGATGATGATGATGATGATGATGATGATGATGATGATGATGATGATGATGATGATGATGATGATGATGATGATGATGATGATGATGATGATGATGATGATGATGATGATGATGATGATGATGATGATGATGATGATGATGATGATGATGATGATGATGATGATGATGATGATGATGATGATGATGATGATGATGATGATGATGATGATGATGATGATGATGATGATGATGATGATGATGATGATGATGATGATGATGATGATGATGATGATGATGATGATGATGATGATGATGATGATGATGATGATGATGATGATGATGATGATGATGATGATGATGATGATGATGATGATGATGATGATGATGATGATGATGATGATGATGATGATGATGATGATGATGATGATGATGATGATGATGATGATGATGATGATGATGATGATGATGATGATGATGATGATGATGATGATGATGATGATGATGATGATGATGATGATGATGATGATGATGATGATGATGATGATGATGATGATGATGATGATGATGATGATGATGATGATGATGATGATGATGATGATGATGATGATGATGATGATGATGATGATGATGATGATGATGATGATGATGATGATGATGATGATGATGATGATGATGATGATGATGATGATGATGATGATGATGATGATGATGATGATGATGATGATGATGATGATGATGATGATGATGATGATGATGATGATGATGATGATGATGATGATGATGATGATGATGATGATGATGATGATGATGATGATGATGATGATGATGATGATGATGATGATGATGATGATGATGATGATGATGATGATGATGATGATGATGATGATGATGATGATGATGATGATGATGATGATGATGATGATGATGATGATGATGATGATGATGATGATGATGATGATGATGATGATGATGATGATGATGATGATGATGATGATGATGATGATGATGATGATGATGATGATGATGATGATGATGATGATGATGATGATGATGATGATGATGATGATGATGATGATGATGATGATGATGATGATGATGATGATGATGATGATGATGATGATGATGATGATGATGATGATGATGATGATGATGATGATGATGATGATGATGATGATGATGATGATGATGATGATGATGATGATGATGATGATGATGATGATGATGATGATGATGATGATGATGATGATGATGATGATGATGATGATGATGATGATGATGATGATGATGATGATGATGATGATGATGATGATGATGATGATGATGATGATGATGATGATGATGATGATGATGATGATGATGATGATGATGATGATGATGATGATGATGATGATGATGATGATGATGATGATGATGATGATGATGATGATGATGATGATGATGATGATGATGATGATGATGATGATGATGATGATGAGAATGATGATGATGATAATAAAAATAATAATAATAATAATAATAATAATAATAATAAAACGTATAAAATAATAAAAATATCGGAAGCCAGGTGTGGGGCCTGTACGTTTGACCGGTAAAAGAGTGTGGATGGACTGCAAAAAAAAAAGAAAAGAAAATAAGTCCAGCTTGATGGAAATGACGATCCAAGTTGAATGGTCGAGTAAGTTCTCTTTTGCAACTCGCGCCTGAACGAAATAAGTGAGAGATAAAGAATGCAAAAGAGAGAGAGAGAGAGAGAGAGAGAGAGAGAGAGAGAGAGAGAGAGAGAGAGATAAACAACGAAGGGCAGCAGCTGTTCTCTCTCTCTCCGTTGGCCACACACGACGACGTCGCGCCGTCTATCCGAGATTACCAGCCTTTACTATCTCTCTCTTTCTTCTTGCAACAACGGCCTTCGGGGGGGCACTTTCTGCCTCAAACTCCGTGGCGCGTGCACTTTCATTACGGTACCTGCAATACTTACATACTTGCATGCAGCATTTGAGCTGCTGCTTCTGGTCATTTGCCAAAACGCGTGTTTGCACGGGATGAATGCAAATTAACTTTGCTGCGTGCGAGCCGCTGACCGGCTGGCGGCCACTAATTGTAGTAAGTATATACTGCCAATGCCGGTGCTACTGCTCCTCCTATACGTCGTGGCGTACGTATGCAGGCATCAACAAACAAACAACACAAGAGAAAAACTAGACAAGCTACCTATTTACTTATTTATTCCTCTTATGATGGGCTCCTTGATTTATGTATATATGTGTGTTTAAGCAGCCAATCGATTTGCAAACTAAATCACGGTAATAAAAATGTCAAGGAGGAAGTGGGGTCACACGGTCACGACTTATTAGGAGTTTGGTTTCAAATTATTTAAATAAAAAAATTTTAAAAACTCAACTGGTTCTTTTGGTCACTTCACCAAAGGAGTTGCTTTTTTTACAATTTCTTATCAATAATGTTTTTAAAAACATGAACGTGGAAGAGAAGGACAAAAGATAAGTAGAAAAAAAAAGTGTTGACTCCCATTAGGTATATCTCGAATTCAATGTATGCTCTTTGATGTCACGTCATACTACAAGTTATACAAATATAAACATTTATCAAAGTTTATCCCAAGGGGGCACATTGACTTTTATAGTCATATTACACAGAGAGAGAGAGAGAGAGCGAGGGATGAACGATGCCTTCTTCATTTTGCTTACTACGAATCCTACATCAATTGAAACACGAACGGAAAAATTAAATTAAAACGGAACAGACTACCCGCAATTTATATTTTACACGAGTTTTGTGGTAAAAAATACACTTATCTTGTGTTCCAATTGACCCCCGCCGCGTGTCAGCTATCACCGTACACGAAATTATATGAGTAATTTTTGAACCCTCTCTCTAAGTCTTTTAGTTTACTTGGTCACAAAACTGCACTACATAATTGTGGTGTACATTTGCACCGGTCAAGAAAAGGAAGTACTTAGCAGTGCCGTCGTAAGGTAGAAAACTCAATAAGGAAGAGAGACGAGGAGGTGGGACAAGAAAGGTAGGTACAGACAAGTACAAGTACTTATAGGTACATAATAAATATAAGCATTGTACGTAGGTGACACACAAGTGAGCGCAAACTTTCCTTTGCTTGCGGTGATAAACAAATCGCGTATGTTTTAAGCTGTACGAGATTTTTTTTTTTTCCGCCTAAGTTGTACCATAACTTCGAAAAAAAAAGAATTAACAAACCGTACGAATTATTTTTATTTGTGTACGCACGAGCGCAAAAAATATGAAATATCGATCATTGACTACCAGTGGCTGTTTGGTATTGTTCCTGCACAATATTGCATATCGATACGACCATACACTGGTGTGTCGAAGCACATATTAATTTATTCCTGAAACAGTTGGGTACCATTGGTCATAAAATTTATTGCTCGATACACATGAGACCGCGGATAATTTAAAAGAAATTGTTGGATAATGCTTTGAAAGAAAATCACGCTTATTTTTAGTAACGTCAACGGAATCATACACCTACATGAGAGTAGGTACATTCGTATTTTCTTTGGCTCTGGAGCCCGTGGGTGGCACTCGCTACGACATGAGCTGAGCACACATAGATGTATTGGGAATAACGTCGCGCCATCAGCCCGGATAATCGCCGCATATGCCGCTCAAGTACAAAACTCTCTCTCTCTCTCTCTCTCTTCGAATAGATACCTACGTATTGTTGTTACTAATTTTAGCTCAAATTCAATAAATCCTACATAGTTGCCCAAAATTTTATAACTACGGCTTTTGTTATAAAATCCAATACCTGCGTACAGCGTATATTATTATGTACTTACGTAGAATTCGCTCCTCTTTCCCTCGGAGCAATCTGCATATTATCGAAAAAGCTCGAGTTTATAAGTGTAATGGGCTCGGGGAGAGGAGGAATCGGACTTTGCATAATTAATCGAAATAACGTGAATACACGGGTTTGTGTACGTATTTGTGTACATACATGAAAAGGATAACGATGTTAAAATGCGTACATTACTTCAATGGAAATAAAATATATGATTTTTACAATTTATTTATTGTCTTGCGTAACGTAGGTAAAATGTTGAAATACGTAGAGGGAAGAAAAAAAAAAAAATCATAAAGGAGCACTACCAGAGCAACAGCAATAGCAGACTCGGGTGAGTTTTGAAAGAGGAGTAAGTATACTTATAAGTAAAGAAAGAAAGACAGAGTGAAAGAGAAACTATCGCAACAGAGCGAGTGTATACTTGTATGTATAAGTATAGGGAAACGAGGAAGCCGGTATAGAGCGAGAGCTCAGAGCCTCAGAGCACTGGAAGCACCATATAATATACTTACAGCAGATGCACACAAGTAAAAGAATATATATATATCGGCCACACACGATGTTGCAGTAGTATGTGTAGGTTGAAAGATAGATGCAAGCGCGCTCTTCTGCTTTAGACTAGACTCTGAGTCTGGATTGTATCATCTGGACGACTGTTGTACCTATAGGTAGTACATACCTATATGTATAATGTACCTACCTTAATTAAATAGGTACATACCCATCTATATCCCTACACCCACGCGTATGTGCCGCGCTTAGGCGGCATGTACGTAATTAGATACAGAGGGGAACGAGCGAATGATGGTTTTAGAAAAAGGGTACTTAAAAGTGAGTATAAATGAGTAAAAGCGAGACGGACTATCTGGAACTCTGAAAAGCCAGGCACGCGCGCGCCCCCAGAAGAAAAGACGTAGGTAGGCATAGTTGTTGGTTTATAGGTATAGAAGGAAGCGGCGAAAGAGCGGCCAGGAGGACATTGAAGCCCGCCGGGCCTCTGTACTGCTTGAGCTGGACCACCCAGCTCGACTCATGACTAGCGCGCGCTCTTCCTTCTCTCTCTCTCTCTTATAATACTCTCTCAGCTAGCTGGTATATATATATATATATACACACACATACATACACACGTCGTCGTTACTGCTTACTCATGTATATGGACTCACTTTTCCGCTGCCTTTTATTCTTATCTCAGTCATGCAATGATTACTTAAATGTATACGTACTCTACACACACCATACCAAAAACTCATAACGTCGACATTTTATTTATTTAACATTTCCCTAGCTATTATCATGTTAATAACTATATCCATTATTTATTTGCAAGTGAGTAACATTGAGCAATACATGGCTTTGTAACACATAAATCTACCGCGATACTTGTAACTATTCTACGTATATTTACTATTTTTATGTTAGGTACCGGTGGTTTAAAAATACAAAATACGTTGTCAAATTATATACTGCTTGCAACGTGCCCCTTTCGTGCGGGCAACCAGTTATTCATACAGGTACGAGTTGTTGCGGTATCAACGAAAATTTTGAACTCTGTCGTTTACGAAGATGTATATTTTATCAAAATTTTAAGACCTATTTTGAGTATAAAATATAATTCTTAACAAATATTAAATAAAAAAAATTTAACATTTACACAATACCAAAAATTTTCAAAGTACACAATGATGATAACATAAATAATAATGATAACAGTAATGGTTACAGTACAATAAAAAATTTTTATTTAATATGTATTACACTCAATGTAATACGCCATGATTAGTTACCCGCGCATTTGCAACAAGAAATACCAACAATGGATATGGTATACTGCTGTTGATAATACAGAAATTATGCTAATGAATACAATATGTTTTCTTTGTATAGTTACTTCATATTCAATTATTAACCTATTGACATAATCGAGAGAGAGATCATTTTTACACACTGTAAAAGCAAAATTTATGTGAGTAGGTTCATCAAGAATCAAACATAAAATATTGGTATATTATTTTATTGTAGTAAAATTAAAGTCATAACAATCACATATCGTGTCATCTATCAACGAGATATAATAACACACGTATTAAAAAGATGCGCCATAAATAATTTAGATGCATCATTGATAAATCGATGCCACAGTGCTTAAAAATCACGTAAACTTAAATATATGTATATATGTATACATATATTTTTATATAGTATGCCACATACACACATTTATATATTTATTTATGTATATGCATATACAAATATATAAATATAAATGTGTGTGCATGTATGTGCATAAACTGTCTTTAAATTACTCTTACATAAATATTTCTAAAATCTTATGTGGCAAATCGATCGTCGATCGAAAAAAAAAAAAAAAAAAGATTTCACATTTTAGCTTATTACTTTGAGGCACCAATGGTATACGGACCCTGTCTTTGGTACATACGACCGATTCAATTTCATTGCATTTATAATTTTTTTTTTCTTTCTTTCTTCATCTCTTTTGTTTAGAGAAAAAAGAAGAAAAAGTAGAGGAAGCAGGAACGGAATGTACTTTTGTAGAGTAAGGGCCATTGATTGCTTGAGTTGCACGTCAAAAATTGTATTTTAAAACTAGAAGAACGGCAAATCTTACAACATTTTCAAATTTCTCTGTACTATTACTTTTTCCTTTTCCTTTGAATTTAGTCCATAAACACTGAAATGCGGCATATTCCATTCATTTTTCCACCTTTCAAACAATATATCGCACTCGCATACATTTTTTTTCTACACTTCATACTCTCCTCCTCTTTCTCCTACCTCTTCTTCTTCTTATTTTTTATTTTTTTTTTTTTTAATGAAGAAAACGCGATTACACACGAGTAGTTGAAAGAATGTTTGTTCTCGTTTAAACTATATAATCCATAGCCGAAGAATAGGTTGCCACGTCCGATCATCGTCATCGAAACTTATCTCTTCGGTGCTTCAATAACATAGTCCCAAAAAGTTTGGATAGTTCAGTCTTCCTCTTTCTTCTCGGGTTTCAAATCCACCATCGCGTGCAATTCTTCTGGACTGTAACTGTAACAAATTATGTTGCGTGACAAGACATTTAAATGTCAATGAGATTTGAGGAATTTTATTGGAATATAAAGTTTAAGAGGAATAACAAACCCAAGAAGACTTTGGAGATCGCAGACGAAGCGATAAACGTAACGCTTGCCGGCTGTTTTGTGAATAATGTTTTTGTCATAGTAGTAGCGAAGACCGCGGCTGAGCTTTTCGTAATTCATCTTGGGCTTGTTCTTTCGGATGCCCCAGCGACGTGCCACCTCGTCCGGGTCGGTCAGCTTGAACTCCCATCCGTCGCCGGTCCACGATATAAAGCCCTGGCAGCTCTTGTCGGTAAGCAGCTCGAGAAGGAATTGCCAAAGCTGGATGGGACCTGAGCCCGTAAAGCAGGGCCCGCCTCCTACAATGAGACATAAAAATAATAATGTCGATCATAGAGATTAAAAACAATTAATTTATATCACATCTGACAGAGGACACGAACATACTATCTAGTATTGAAAATTTTATTGATAAAATAGGAATACGTGTTAAATATTGTTATTTGTTTATATAATTAAACGAATATTACTGACTTTCGGATCGAGAGATGATGTACGAGACTTACTGAACTCATTTCTACCGATCGCAAAAGCAAGTGGCATGTACTGTAATCAAGGTTAACATTCAACTATGTCAGCCATTATGCTCCAGGATAATTTTTACAAAAAATGCGAACGAACGTAACAGCGATACCTATTTCTCCCTTTTAATGTCTCAGTTTTTATTTCAACAGTTAAGTATAAATATACATATAGTGTATAATATGCCCATGGATTAGAATTTAAAAAAAAAATATAATTAAATTTTTTCAAATTTACAGTAGAAACTTGAATCATAACCGAGGCATCGAACTTGTTGAAAGCAACCGAGGAAAGTAGATTTGCATCAGTACTTAATAACAGGATGTTTCAACATGTAACTGACCGGCGTATCCAGCGAGCATGGCGCTGGGCAGTAAGGGTGGCTTCTGATGGTCCGGATTTTGGTTGCCCATGGACGAGGGATGATGCGAAGCATTGGCGGGATCCCGAGGCCCAAGACCCGCGAGAAAGGCTGCTTGGTGATGGGCCAGATGGTCAGCTGTGGGCCCGACGCTCCATTGTTCGCCGACACCGCTGGGCACGTTGGCGCTACCGCTACCCGGTCCGGTGCTACCCGGCACGGTCTGAAACGGCGCCGAGTCGTACTGACCGTAGCCACCCTCGCTGTAACTGTCATGGTAACGACCTACCGAAGAAAGAGAGAGAGAAAAATAAATGCTCGGATCGCGTATGCATTGCAAAGGGAGAAAGAAAAGAAAAAAAAAAACTCACCACGAGAGTAGCTCTTGAAGGGCGGTGGTTGGTATTTGGGCTCGAGTTGCATGCCACTGGCCTGGCCGTAAAACTCGGGCGAGCCGTCGAGGCCGTAGGGGTGGCCAGGATGGTGCTCGTGGCCACCGAGGCCGTGGTAATCCGCTGGCTCCTCATAGCCCGAGTAATGGGCCGGGTTGAGGTAGTTGTCAGCTCCCGGGCCGACCGAGGACCTCAGATCGATCTCCCCATTATTGGCCGCCTGTAGATGCTGCTGCTCATTACTCGGAGCCTGGTGATTCGCGTACGCTGCTGCAAACAATACGTTTAATTACATTTAAAAAAAGAAAAAACAATAATATAATTAGAATATATAAAGGAATCGTGAAAAAAAATGTGAATAACAAATGAGGCGCATGTACTCACACTCCGATTTGAGCTGGTTGAGATTCCGCAGGTGGATGTAGGCATTACTGGTCGTACTGTTGTTGTTGTTATTGTGCGTGCTGTTGTTGTTGTTGTTGTTGTTGGTAATGTTATTGTTATTGTTGTTGTTGTTGTTGTTGCTGCTGCTGCTGCTGTTGTTGTTGTTGTTGTTAGTGACATTAGAGTTGGCAGATGGAGTTTGGGGCGTCAGGCCAGCAGAGGCCGTGGACGTGGGGTGCTGGGAGCCGTTGCTACTCGATTGCGATTGAGGCGAATTTTCCCTGCGTCGGCTGTCTTGTGGCTGATCCTGCTGGTTGCAGGCGGGACTGCGTAAATGGTGGTAACCTCCTGCAAAAGTAAACACCAGATGCTTGAGCCTTACTCACTCACTTGCTGACAAATGCTTTTGTAACATAGGTATGTTCACTTTTTACCCGAAACTGTTAAATTTGGTGTAGTCTGCTTATTCATTTGTTTTACCTTATCTTTTCAAACACAATTTGAGGGAAAAAATTTATCAAAAATTCAAGGAGAAATGTGAAACCGACCTGCGGTATCGGATAAAATCGAGCAACAAATAACCAAGGGGACAATTAAAACAGGAGCCAATTAAACTGAGAGCGTAATCAAAGATAAAAATTGCAACGAAAACGACGAAAATATTTCAATAATTATCAGCCAAATGAGTATTCATTTTAACTCTGGAAATAATGGAAATTTTTTATATTTTATTGTTGATATATTTATATGAATGTACCATAATCGCTGTGAAACATGGTTTGTAGGTACGTACTCAAAGTATAGTATGTATTCAATTAAATTAAAAGCTGATTAAAATAAATAGTGCATTGAAAATTAAATGGACTCTAAAATCTGCTATTAAAGCCGATTGACTTGCTCCCGTCCAAAATGTCGATTCAAGTCGATTGACTTCAGTATCACTTTTGCCTATTGAAACCGATTGACTTGCCCAGATCCAAAATGCCTATTAAAGTCGATTGAAAATGAAAATATCCAAAAGTCCCATTATAGTCGATTCATTTCAATCGACAAAATTGTGTGAGCCGATTATAGTTTTTTTATAGCAGGGGTAATAAAGAGATAAAAAAAACACGCACTCCCGTAATAACAGTAATATTGACTGTGCCAATTAATGATACAATATATTATGATTGATCGTGTTGATTATTATTTATTGGTAACACATGCATGGTAAATGTTTCATGAGTTTATAATCGTACTAGAACGAGAATATTCTCCATGCGATGTACAAGAGGCCGTACATAAGTAATAGTATATCGTCGCAGCGTTCTCCGGCATTTCGTCGGTACCTATACAGGCGGTCGCGCGCGCGCGCGCGCGGAACAACAGTGGAGAGAGCAAGGCGTCCCGACAACATCAGAGAGAGAGAGAGCTCGACTCGCATGCACTCCGACCTCGGCTGGTCGTACATTACGCGGCAGAGAGCGCGTGCTCGCGGGGGTGAAGCGCTTGGGGGCGGCGCAAATCGTCGATTGGCGAGGTCAGACTCCGCCTATCGGGACCTCCTCGGCCACTCTTTCCATCTCGCGTCGCATCCAGAGCGTATCTCAAATTCCTCTATATATGTGTTTTGTGTACATCAACATTCTACCTTTTTGAGTCTACTTACTCGTACATACCTATACCTGTATTTATCTGTCTTGTGCTCTTATGTAGGTACAACACCGACCTATACTTACAACGGGAAATTCATTTCCTCGGTTTACTCCCGACCGTATAGTGCTTATTTCATTTTACGCGTCCTATCGGCATGTAAACGTAATTTTTCAGATCAATTAAAAATATTTTACACTTGTTTTCTAGCACGTCTGCGCAGAAAAATAGATCCCATTGGGCTATATCCACCATTGATCGTATAAATATATACCTACTTGTGAGAGTATGCTTTCCGATTCACATTTATCAATGGATAGGTACATCAAAAAGCGCACGCAACGTTGTTTTCCGCGTTCCCAAAGCATGTAAATTATTTGCACTTACGGCTGTTCCTCGATAATATGCGAGTTGTCGATGTCGAGGAATCGGAAAACTGCGGGTACTGTTTTTTTCCCACTACTTTTACCGTTGAAAAACAACCCGTGGGCAATTAATCATACAATGATTTGTCTAGCGTTAAACAGATTTTTTTTCATCAACTTTTGGGTTGCAACAATAGCCGTGTAAATTTTCTCAGATGAAAATTTTCTTAGCTTGGTTTGGACTTGCGCGTTTTTTCCCTACAAAAGATTGCATAAATTAGACGTGTAAGCACGCAATATAATATATTACATTTTTTCAACCCGCATATTTGCAAATAAATTTAACGACATTTAAAGACAGCAAGATAACATATAAATTGCGCAGGTTGAATACAAAAGCATGGAAAAAAAAAAAAAAAAAAAAAAATTAAAGTGTATTTGTATACATACGTACGTATAATTAATACAAACGAATAAAATGAGTAACGGTCAACAAAGAATTCACATGGTTATTAACAAGATTATTTAGTAATTAGAATATTGTGCTTCAAACGAAAAGTACCAGCGAAATATAAAATTAATTAATAGCAATCACAATAGATTTACAAATAGTAATCATAAAACTAAGTATTCAATAATACCATTTAGTTTGACGTATAGGTATTGGTTGTGCTTTGTATATAAATATGTAGTAGGTATATTTTTCGGATGAATTTAGTAGCTTGTTTCGAGATCATATTAGTTATTGTTGAGCTCTTGAGTTATGAATTAATTGTTTAAAGTAAATAAATTTTTCGAAGAATGTGATACAATATATAGGTACGTTTTTTCATACTGCTGAAAAATAATAATTGGTTTATATATTCAAGTCCAATAAAGTTGTAAAAAAATGAAAGAGAAAAGTTGTAACAAAAACCTCAGTCAAGTGATTGCACTTTAGATCTTCGGTGTAACTCTTTCCTAACGATTGTTAACCAATTTTAATGAATTAATTATTACACCAATCCAGTCGGCCAGATGCGAAGAACATCTTCTGTATTTTATTACTTTTAAAATAAATATGCGGATACTTAATGATGATGATGATGATGATGATGATGATGATGGCGCAATGGGTGCACGGCGAATGACGCTCTCTTCCCCCGTGGCTTAGCACCTGATGCGTCGAGGTGAAAAATTCAAAAAATATAACAGCATCACCGTTGACCACCAAAAATAAGCTTTCAGCAGTTTGCAAATATCCTATTGTTTGGTCGATAAATGTGTCTCAGTAAGTGACACTTTTACATTCCGTGCATTATAACAGGATGCTTTCAGTAGCCATCCTTAAAAATTCATTTTTCATCTTATACATCAGCTACGTGTATTCGATACCATTTCTCATCAATAGACTATTATTGACCAGTCATTCACTGCCACCATTTTCGGGGTCAAGCAGATAAATAGCATATAAAAAATATGAGCAGTCTTGAGGAGTATAAGTAGCTGATGTATACGGAATGCAAAAGTGTCCTTTACTGAAACACATTTATCGACCAAACAATAGGATATTTGCAAACTGCTGAAAGCTTATTTTTGGTGATCAACGGTGATGCTGTTATACTTTTTGAATTTTTTCACCTCGATGCGTCAGGTGCCAAACCACGGGAGGTCACAACATTTCCCAGCCTACCGGAAGTAAACCGACGATTCGAGTCACGACTAAAAATTTAATTGCGTCCGTACATTGATCACGTTAATATCTCACTGTTAATCAATTTGTCCTACATGTGTGTATACCCGAGTATGATTGTTACAGTTGATGATTGTTGAATGATGACAGTTCCTCCTCTTTCGAAAATTGTTGATGACCAGAAGTATAATGATTCTCATAACAGTGAATAAGACAAGGATCCTGCATCATGTACATAGCGATATAATTAATCACATACATAATTTTTGCAGCGTTGTCTTTTTACATTGCTGACAAAGTAATAGGTATGGGTACGTTTTAAACTCATTTATAGGTATAAGGAAGAATTATGAAATATATAGTATGTATCTTATGTATGATATTATAAATTTAGGCAAAGACGACACGCGAAAGAGAGTAGGAGACAAGGTGATTGTGATGCAGGAGTTTCTCAGCGAGCCAGCGTGCGTTACATGTGTATTATATATATAATGTGTATATATATATATATATATCCCTATATTATATAGTTGTATTGACGAAAGGGAGTCTCAGCCCCCCCCCGTTGCCCCTCGATTTACGTAGTTATTTGCTTGTTTTAACGTCATTTTTAATCAAATTATATTTGAGTGAGCTCCCCCCCGCTACCCCTCGCTCCCCCTCCACCTCCCCCCAATAAAATACTTATTTATTTAATGTTTTACCATCATAAATGTTAAAAAATATACGCAATTTAGTACCTAAGTCGTACCTCGTTTTTAGGGTTTTTTTTAAGTCACTCATCATAGGTCTCCCTCTGTCTATTCGCTTCCCCTTACTCACTATATGTCTCTGAAGTACCATTATTTGTTCAACTTGATTGAACTTTTACATTTCAAATCTCTTTCTGGTCCATATCTACTTTACCCAAATATAAAATTCTTGATTACTTGAGGACTTTATTAAGTAAAAGACAGAATTCAGGAGGAGGTATAATTAAATAGACAAAACAATTAAGCTTTAGAAACAATAATTCATTCTGTTAGCTTAATGTTGTAACATTTTATGTGTCATTTTAACCCATCTGTTCTTTTAAAACCCTTTCCACATTTTTCACATATTTGTTCTTCATGGTTTTTATGAATTAACATACGTCTGTTTTAATGTGACGATCTTCAAAGATACATATTTTTGAATTACTGAAAAATTCTAGCTAAACAATATTTTTAATTTCTGATTCATTCTCATTATTAAAAATTATTATTTAACATTTATTAATATTTTTACAATCAATTTCGTGAGCTCTTACTTTTTTCTTAGTTTGAACGAAGTAAAGGCAGCAGTTACGTATGTATACTCTATCATTATATTCAGACAATTGTTTGCTTAACAAATGGAATAAATTTCATATCCAAACCTAGTATGACATTTTTTATCCAAACATAGTATTATAGAAATTCAATACCATTAAAATTATACTTAGACAATACGCCTTCTTCAGAACTTTCACTTGCTCATTTTTTTGTAAATTCGATATTATTTGTAGTTAACAACGGCAATTAATATAGCATGATCTCTGTANTATACTTGAATAATTTTGTTATTTTTAATCTTGTGCCTCTACAGAGACCGTCTGATATACTTAAAGTTCTTATTAACACTACTATAGCATTTATTTTTAATTTTAATTCGTGTAA